TATTAAATACATTTAATAAAATGATTCCTACTCGTGATTGATTATTCTAAAAAAATACATAATAAATAAATGTATACAAGAATAAGCATTTAAATCTAGTTAAAAAAATATTTACTTGTAACCCAGACCCATGTTGTTCAACATCGTCAAAAGTATCAATTCGTTGAATTTCTTGCGAGGCATCCAAGAAACTTTGCGTAAGATTACCCCTGAACTAATATAGAAATAATAATAAATTCTTTTTAAACTATATAAGAAAAAATTATAATAGATTTAAAACAACTTTTAAAAATACACACCAAATAATCATCGCTATCACTTAGAGTAATATCGTCATCTTTAAATAGCGTTCTAGATGACCAGTCATCAGCGTCTACAAACAACTATTAAAAAATAAAAAATCATGTACTCATTTCTAACATAAAAATATATAAATCGATNCGATATACTCATTTTTTTTTTTAATTACCTCATCATCAGAGTCCCTCATAACAATTTCGGAATCTGCGAAAAGCGTCTTAAAAAAAGAAAATATATTTATATATATATATATATATAGATATATAAAAAGGTTTATATTAAAAAATGTGTTAATAAATAAAAATAAATTTACTTACATTGCTTTCTGATGAGAAACTGTCAGATCTCTGTCTTTTTGCCATATTAATTTTAGTAATTCACCACGTGATAAATTACACAGAAAAAAATGTTAACTAACACATCCGACACGCACGGAAAATATATTCCAACTAATAATAACCTGCACGCTTGTCTAAGGTACTTACTAAGGAACGAGCCTTATCTTGTCAGCGCTTGGTAGGATGACATCACAGTATCCGCAGTGACGTCAAATCCCCCAAACCAGTATCCCCAACCGACGGCCTGATTCGTCTCCACACGTGGCTGATAACTACGTGTTGCCAGCCGGAGAAAATAGTAATACCGATAAGATTGAAGTGAAGACAGGTAAGGATGAAATTTAATCGTAATCGCCGTTATGCTTTCTCTTGAACACATGTTCAGAGTTTGAATGCTAAACGTATTTACGCAAACATTATTAACTTTTCGGCTTCTTCATAGCGGGCATTCACAGGCTTCTCAACTGGGACGCTCCTTTTTGACACAGTGCGGAAAGTTCCCAAGACACTCCTGGACTTGAACTTAAGGGCAATGTAGCTAGAGATGACGTCATCTTGGACTTTTCTAATGGCGTTCCACTGAGCAAAACTAATGTCTAACGGAAACTTGTAGACGCGCCCGCTTCTGCACTTGTGCTCATGGGTGAGCGTGTACTTGCCGTCGTCTGCCATGAGCAAATAAAACTNAAATTTAATTTCAATATGATTTTCTAAAAACCCATCACTAATCATTGTAATAATTTTAATAATAATATTAATCATATTAAGATTGATATCATTTTTAATATATTTCAATAAAAATTAAGTATTATCTAATGTATAACGAATCATTATTTAATTAAAGTATTATTTAATATCTGACAGAAAAAATTTTATTTATAAATATATCATTTTCTCAAAACAAATTAACACTATTCTTCTGCTCCTTTATTTCACTCATAGATGGCGCCACGACTGTCTTACATATCAGGTTGCCGTCCTGTAAACGAAATATAACACTGAAATACATGGGGCAGAAAAAAGCGCACCGAAACGTTGCAGACATAGTTTCTATATCAATGGGAGAAGAAATAAACAGCAAATAACTTTCTCTCATTGTGACGTCACTACCTACGTCACACGACAAGGGGAGAGGCAACGCCACAGGGGGGGGGGTCATGCCTAACCCCTTGGCGTTCCCCGTGACGTCACGCTGCCGCAATATATGCGGCATATAGTAATAGCCGTAATTGCAGCATTGCAGGAGTTTTGTTCGTGGCTATTCTCACCTCAGCACAAAAATTACACGGCGATAGCCCACAATATGAAAGGGTAAAATGAATTTTCTTTTTTAAATTTTTTAGAAGTGTATTCGAAAGGAATTTAGCGCATTTTTGTGAAGATAATTTTATTTATCTATTTAACATCATTTTTTATTTTTTGTCATTTTTTTGTTTGTCAGAATTTCATAGTCAAATTCTTCTAGTAGTAAAGCCCCTCGCGCTATTTTGGGTGTTATTTCTTTTTTATTCATTGTTTGGGTAAACGCAACGCAGTCAGTGTAAATTTTAAATTTTGTACCTAACAAGTACGACCTAAATTTTTTTAATGCTTCTATTATGGCTAAAACCTCTAATTCATAGCTTGAAAGTTCTTCTTGTTGAGGTGAAGTTTTACGGCTAAAATAACATATTGGATGAAATTTTTCATCATCGCCCTGCTGCATTAAAATTGCTCCAAATCCTTTACTGCTAGCATCAGTATCCAATTCCAATTTTGATCCCTGACGAAAAATGTGTAAGACTGGTTTTTGACTCAAAATATCTTTTAATTTCTGGAATGCTTCCTTTTGTTCTTTACCGAAATAGAATTTCGCTTCCTTTCTTAACAAATCACTCAAGGGTTTTGCAATTTTAGAATAGTTGTAAATAAATTTGCGGTAATAAGAACTAAGTCCTAAAAAACTTTGCACTTATTTAACCGATTTACGGATAGGGAAATTTTGAACAGCAGCGGTTTTAAAAGCAGACGGTTGCATCGTACCGTTTTTAAAAAAATAACCTAAAAACTCAATTTCGTTCATGAAAAATTCACATTTCTTAAAATTAAATTCAACTCCGTGTTCTGACGCTACTCTAAAGACACGTTTAAGTTTTTCGAGGTTTTCCTTTTGAGTTTCCGACGTTACGATTATATCATCTAATTTCAATGAATCATCTTTGATCAAATCTTTAAACACTTTGTTTATATGTCTTTGAAAAACATTTGGAGATGTACTCAATCCGAAAGGGGTTTTAAGAAATTCATATTGCGAATTATCTGTTGAGAATGCTAAATATTTCGTACATTCTGGTTTTACGGGAACAATAAATAACGCATCTCGGATATCAAGTTTATTATAACACGAAGCGTTTGACATAGAGTCAGTCACTGTTTCTATAAGGGGTATCGGATGTTTATCTTGTTGAGGTGAAGTTTTACGGCTAATATATGTAGTATTAATAATTATTAATTTATATTAATCTGTAATATTAACTAATTTTTTATTAAGTTTACGAAAATCAATGCTTAATCGAAAATCGAAGTTATTGTTAATAAATTTTCACTAGTTCCTCATCATAATTTTCCGATTTTGTAATCGTCTTAACTAATTGTGGTACTTTAGCATTTTCTGGTGCTGTAATTCAAGTTCACAAAGTAAATTTATCAAATCAATTTTTCTTGCTCTACTAAGACAGGCCATTTTAGAAATGAAATGTTCTACTCACAGATTTTGTAGAGGTATCATGAAGCTTCCTTCTCAGTTCAGGTGCGTCGGCCACACAGCTTGAAAAATTCACAATTGATCACCAACAGTTCAGAAATTAGTTCGTCTTATTCGGCAAAATGCCGGGTAGAGCCCCCATAATTCTGTGGTGTTGTGGAGGAAGGAACAGTTTTTTCAATGAATGAAATATTTAATAATTAAAATGAATTTTACATGTATGATGATATATAAAAAAATGTGAAAAGTTCAGGAAAATGTGGGCCCTCTGCCCTGTTATCATAAACATCAGTCCCGTCTGGGCTATGCAGTTCACTATTCAGCAATAATCCATTTGTAATCCATTGTCACATTTCATATCTTATCTATCAAATAAGTTTCATTAATAAAAATAACAAAAGATCTAATAATCAAAGGATAAATTAAATAAATTTAACCAAGCTACTAATTTAGCAACTTTGCTATACATTCTTCAAAGATTGAATATTGCCCTGGCAGTTTAAATGAATGCCATCTTTACTAATACATTCATCCACAGATAAAGTTGATTCATTGAACATCAGCCCAGGTGAAATACACAAAGCTTTCATTCACTTTCATTGAACAACTTAATAGTGTCATTTTCAAAATTAACAAAATGTTAGTGCCTGCTTTGATCTATCAGCGAGAGAAATTTGTTAACTCTTCGATCAAGAACCTGTGAAAGAACAACAATCCCTTCACAAATTTCTTTAGCCGCAAAAGCCAGTCTCTTAAAGTTTGGCATTGGACCCAGCTGCACATCATTAACACCTTTATTTCAAAGATATGCAAAATAAATTATTATTTAATAGCATGACTATACAGTGGGTAAAAAAAGTCTCTGTACGCAGATACGAATGTTTAGTTTGTCACACAAAATTCATAATGATAAAAATGAAAACTTAAAAATGTGTTAAAACTAATATTATTTAATATTTATTCATATTACTATTCATAATACTGACAAAATTAAATAATAAATCTTAAAAACTTAAAAAATGTCGTAAACATGGAACAAAAAAGTCTCCGTACGGTGCCCCAGCACACGAAAAAAGTTTACAAAAATGCAAAATACATTTACAAAAATGCAATTAATGATCAGTGGGTCCTCCTTTGGCCTTTATCACCTCTCTTAGACGTTTTGGCATTGCTCCTACAATTTTTTTGTTGTTTATGGAGAAATATTACACCAAATGCTACTAATGGCACTTTTGAGTTCAACTTTGTTTTTTATGTCATATTTTTTAAGTTGTCCACCAATTTCTTCTCACAAATGTTCGATGGGATTTAAATCGGGTGACTGGGGAGGGCTATGAAGTTGTTGTTTAAGATGGTAAAAGCACCACTCTTGGCAAATCTTAGAGGTGGGTTTAGAATCGTTGTCCTGCTGAAAAGTAAATCCAGTTCCAAGAGATAGTTTCTCTGCGCTGGATAGCACATTTTGTTTAAGAATATCCAGATATCCAAATCGATCCATAGTTCCCTCGATGAATTGCAAATTTCCTACTCCAGAAGCACTCTTACACCCCCACACCATAACACCGCCACCACTGTGCTTCGCAGTTCCGCATAAATTCTTATTAGTTCGCATTTGTTTGTTTGGTTTTCTCCCCACCATAACTCGGCCATCTGACCCATGAATGTTCAATTTTGATTCATCACTAAAAAGAATGGATTCCCTAAAAGATAATGGCTTGCTTACATGCTTCTTTGCAAACTCGAGGCGCTTTTTCCTGTTGCACAAACTTATATAGGGTTTCTTCCGGGCCGCACGTCCATGATAACCACTTTTTTTTTTAAATTACATTTCTCACGCTTTGAGTTGAGACTTTAATGTGGTAACTAACCATTAAATCAGCTGCCAACCGCCTTGCACTAATTCGTGGGTTTTCTTGAACTTGGCATGTGATGTTTCTTTTATGCACGCGATTTAATTTGGACGGCCTCCCGGATTGATCTCTATCCTCAAGTGAATGAAGTTTACGATATCTTTCAATGATATATTGCACAGTAGACTTCGATTTTTTAGTCATTTCACTAATCCTTCTCATGGATAATCCATCTTTTCGCAATTTAATCACTAATTCCCGAATAGCTCTGGGAACTTCCAGTTTGAGACGATCAACTTTAACGATTAACTTTCTAACGTCAAAGATTTATTGCGGGCCTGTTTTAAACACGTCAGAAAGAATTTGCATAAAGCGTACGGAAACTTTTTTTGCATTGCAAATTTCAACTTACCTTAGATATTGCAAATAATATGCTTTTCTCGTTTTGTAAAAATGAAAATTTATAAAAATCTCTTTCTATAGACTTATACTAAACACATATAGACAGTATTTAAAGAAAAAATGCAATACTTTACAAATTATGCTCATTTATTCTTAAATTTAGTGACCGTACGGAAACTTTTTTTACCCACTGTATGTAAAATAAAATGAAAAG